CCGCCCCAAGCCTTGGCAATTCCAGCTCATGAAGCTCATTGGATATGGGGCAATCCCTCATTTGGGATCGCCTTTAGGCATACAGCCTTGTTGGTTGGTTTTACCTCTTCTACTTCCGCTTCACACTTCCTTTTCTTGTTTCCCATCGGCTGCTTTCCTTCTCTGCGGTCATCAGCAGGAGCAGGGAATGCTACCCTTGAGTCTTTGTCTCTCTGCCGTCTGGCAGCCTTGGGAGGCCTTCTTCTAACTGTAGGTCTTTTCTTCGTTACCCCGGATGAACAAGGAGCCATATTTACAGGAAATTTGTCAGCCTTGAAAACCGTTGGGTAGTTAGAAGAGAAAGAACCTTCAGTTTCATAAGAGGCCTCACAACCTTGCGTTAACAAGAGATTAGGAGCAGACCGACGTGAAAAGCTTAACTCGGCCTTAAAAGACGCAGCCATGAATTTGCCAGGATTGCTCTGCGTACTCAAGTTCTTAGTATCCTTCTGATTCTCCAGGTAATCAAAGACAATACCCTTGCCTTTGTTTAGCTCAGTAGTAAAAACCGGTGGAGCCTCCAATCTTAAAGCAACTCTCTTGGTTATTGGATCACTTTCCGCTGCCTTGACTGAACGTTGGATCTTGTCAATCTTTAAATCTCTACTTTCTCCTGTCTCAGCCAGCAAGTATCTTCTCATTTCCTCCAAAACTTGCTTGTCAATCTTCCATCTCCCTGTAGCAGGGTCTAAATTAACTTGTTCTTCCTCCAGAACACCAAACAAGATGTCATCCTCGGCTAAGACTTTTTTCCTCTGTTCCAAGCTAGCAGAAACCAATTCCCTTCTCACACTGGCCTCCTCCTGTCTTTTCCGAACCAGTAACGGGCAGTAGTCTTTCTCATGGTTAAGTCTCTGGCATGAAAAGCAACGTTTCTGCACCTTTTCATAATTAAACCGAACTACATAGGATTTTCCTTTCGAAGTGACCACCTTTGTCTGACGAAGAGGGTTCGCCACATTGAACTTAACCAACACTCTGATGAAATCCTGAGTGATAGGTCTCGTAGGGTCAAAGGCCACCTCCATCGTCTTTCCCACTAGGTCTCCTAAGGCTGTTAGGGCTTCCTTGGTGTAGAAGTTGACCGGAATGTCACGGATCTGAACCCAAAGAGGTATGAACTGCAGGTAATCATCAGGGGGGTTTTCGACCCACCTTTCCACCACAATCACCCAGTCTTCAAAAGTATGAACCCCTCTCTCTAGAATCTCCACGAGGTCGTGTTCATACTTAAAAATAAACTGGAACCGTTCTGGCGAGAGGGCAATCCCACGAACCCTCCCCTCTTTCTGCCATTTCCTGGGCATCTTCCTGATAAGAATTGGCATTTTTTGACGATCCGGGTTCAGGATTCTCCCCATCAGGCTAAGTTTGTTTTCTTCTGCTGAGCTGAAACCAGGGAGCTCGGGCATAACAAATGGAGCATCTTCCTCATCAAGTGACAGAGCCATTAGGGCTTTGTCCATAGCAAGCGACATGATTTAATGTTTTTATCTCTTCAAAGTCTTCAATAAATTCTCACCCACCTTTTTTTTCTTATCTTGAAGGTTTGAAGAACAGGATGAGAAACAGGTGAGATTTGAATAAAGTAGGCACAAACCTTCCTTAAAACCAATAAATGCGTTGACAAATCTTCCCAAAAGCGTGTTTCCGCCTGATAGTCGCAAATAACCAAGCGACTTCAACCTATTACCCAAAGGATAAAACCCTGTAGCCCATGAGGGGTGACTTTGAAAGGAAATTTTCTCCCTCTCACTTACTCTTCTTTTTACAATTATTTACATTATTATACTGGTGAAAGACTGCATCAGGTACTATTGATGCTGATACTCAACTTTTTGTCTTTTACACTCCTCTTGCTTTATTATTTTTTTATTATTATAATGTGAGATATTTCATGAATTTATTATTATGTTGTATATATCTCATTTAGTTTCCTTACTTTTGATGTTTTTGCCATCTTTCAGGGGTCTGAAAATCACCTCTTAAAACAATCAAGGTTTCCAGCTCTCGACCCAATCAGAATTTTCGACTGTCTGAACAAAATGGCCGCTGGACGTCTTCTCCTAGGTCTTTGCATGATTCAGAAGTATTTCCTTCCATTAGTGCAATCACTAATGCAGATAGAAAGAGAACTCAGCCTCAATCTAGGGTTGCCAGCTCTGAAATTTTGTCAATCTCAGTATTTCAGTCAGATACACAGACGCCTTTACATGATTCAACCTCTAAACAAAATGTGACCAAGCAAGATTTTAGAAGACCTCACTCCCTCCCTCAACGTGATCCTAGGGCTTCCCAGCTTCCAGCAAAATCTCGAAGCGGGTCTGTACGGCCCTTCTCTTCAAGCAGCCAAAACATAAATACGCAACTACCTGATGTATCTCATGTTAAAAAGTTTGACTCTGAGTCAAAAACTGAAAATGCTCCAGGACAAAGCCAACATGAGTGATTTACTGGAAGCTGTCATGAAGAGTGGAATCCTGTCTAATAATTCAACTTGTGATGCAATCAAGGAGGAGAGAACTCAAAATGTATATCTATCTATACTATTATATGACAAGTGATTATTTTTATTTTTCATGTACTTCATGATTTTAGATTATTTTATTTATATGTGTCATGTTTTAAGTAATTTTTAGTTGAATCATTAATTTATTAATTCAAATAATATTATTACTCCTAATTTTTGTAACTAAATATATAACTATTTTGTTTAACTTTAAAATTTTGACGAGTAGTACACAATTCTAAATTAAACCGATACAAACCATTAATCAAAAACCATGAATGGAAAATAACATAAGATCAATATAGATTATCTTTTGTCTTTTATCATAGTTTAATAATAGTATAGATAATATGAAAGTGATATTTCTCGTAACTTATGTTATATTATATCTATAGTATTATTTGGGAAGTGTTTTTCGCATTTGAGTTTCTACGTTAAAATTTTAAGTGACTAATATCGTTGCTTCCTTAATGAATAATTAATTTTGATTATATAATTAACCATTAATCTATTAGTAATTAACAAATTATACTTGACCATAATTTAATGTAATCAAAATTGATACATATTACCTATACTAATTTGCTATCAATCATCAGTTAATATAATATAATATATTTTTGACATCATATAATATAATATTTGTATATATGTATTATTATCCTATTTCTTTGTAGATTTTTCTGTATTATTATTCCAGGTTGTCACGAAATTTATTAATCAAGATAATCTTGACTACTAATTAAAATAAAAAGAAGTACTAGAATCGTAAGTTTTTGTCCGAGGTAGTCATCTAATTGTTAGATCAACTCTTTTTGTGTATCATGAAAATAATTCTTCTGGTATCTAAAGATTAGATCAATCATTTGTATTGCCTTTTTATCCATAAAGGTGAAATGAATTCTTCACTTTGATAATGGGGATTTTCGGTTAGACTATAAATGTAAAAATAATAGTAGAAGTTAATCTATATTTTTTATGATTGTAGCTGTATATTATTTCTTTTGTTTGTTTATGTTTTACTTGTTAAATTTACAGAGCACAAAAAAAAAGAATGAAGAAAATAAAAACGATTGAGATCATAATGCCAATTAATAAAAGAAAAGAACAATAATATGGGAAACGAAAAAGAAGAACAGAGACAAAGAAAAAATTATGGAAGTCCCTTTGGTCCAGTGGTTTGATTAAAGGTTCATTAATGCTTTTATATCAGGAGATCTGTTCGAATCCCAGAAAAAAAAACGAAATTATACGGACGGAAGGAAAAAAAACTTACAAGAGATCTCCAGCATGGTGCAAGGAGTACCGTCCAGGTTGGATCCGATAGCGCGACTCAGGTGATGCAGTCAGACGTGAATCCTCATAAGGTAGTTAGAATTGTCGACTGTAGAATCGTCAGTAATATTTCTCATAGTTTGTAATAACATAATTATCCAGCGTTAAAAAAAAAAAAGACAAAGAAAAAATTAATATCACTATGAATTGATAAAAATAAAAAATATATATAAGTATATACTCTAATATGAAAACTATTATTTTTATCAAAATTTTGGCAGACTTTTTGAGTTGATAAATGATAATGCATTGGCTAATAAATATATGTAAATTTATTTTGACCGCAAGCGCAGACAACACCTAATTAATATATAAGTACTAATATAAAGAAATTATCTATGATGCTGACTCTATTTTAATATTACATCATAATAACCAACTCTATGTTAGTATATATATTTTGTTCATAAGTTTGATCAATACAAACTTACAAAACTATTCAGGAACAAATAATAATTTGGAAACAATGTTTTTTTTCAAAAAGGAAGCCGACTTCTTTTATTGGAGATATTGATTTTGATACACGATTAAATTTAGAGAAATTACTTATAATAACTCAGATCTTATATGAAATTACTAGAATAACTCATAAATATTTGTAATAACTAGAATAACTCATAAATATTTGTAATAACTAGAATAACTCATAGAACTAGTGAAAATACAAAAAACTCCTTCCTTTTTATATTCTAAAGTATATCATTAAAATAAGTTATTAGGTAAAAAAAAATTGTTTCCAAAAAGAAATCCTCCTTCTCGATATCTAACCGACGAACGAAGGTGGCTTCTCTTCACTTCCTTCTCCTGCGACTTCTCCTCCTCACAGCCTCCTTCCTTTCCGTTATCCCCACCCCAACTTCCGGTTGTGGGCTCTGTCATCGAAGAAGAACCATAAATCCGATTTCAAGTTTATCAAATCCGCCATTCAATCAAAGAAAATTGAACTTGTAAGTCCTAAATCAATCCAATTTTAAGTTGTTATTTCTTGCTTGTGTTCCATTAGTGAAAGTATCGTGCCTTGAGTGAATAAGATTACATATATGAGTTTGGTCGGCAACAAGTGTTTTGCAGGGCTGGAGACCATAAGAAGCCTCATCCGACAAACCCGTTATTCTAAATGGATCAGGAAAGGTTAGTCTGATCTTTATCAATTTATACAATGATACCTTGCATAAAGCTCTGTAAAATATGCAAATACTCACTATGTATTCATATGCGCTTCTTGCAGGTTGGGCAAGCGCTTGGACTTTCAACAGAGTGGCCTCATCATCCTCTGTATTCTCCTGGTTAGTCGAACAAATGAACCAAATCAGTTACTGGTATTTTTGAGTTTGCTCTTTCTTAAGAATCTCTGATGTACAATAATACGTGTGAAAACAGAGGATTAGAGGTTCTGGATGGAGGTGAAGATGTGGGGAAAGTATTGGTAGGTCCTTTAGTCTCGATAGATTACACATTGCCTCAACATGTCTATGCCTTGTGGGGATTTTCCCGCATATACAGGTGGGTAATTACGATGCTAAGCTTGATTCTTATAAGCGGGCAGGTATGTGATGTATATTGTTCACTCGTACTGTTTTCCTAATGAAATTTTGTTAATTATTCGTAACTCATTCCAATTGTGGTCACCAATTTTTTCTGATCTGAAAGCTAAGATTCTCCCGTCGCAGGTAACCTATGTCTACGGTCACAGTCTAAGCAATCTTGCAGGGTTTTGATGACACGGAGGAAGACACAGAGAAGATTTAAGCGGAAGCTTATGCTTGGGTCAGTAACGATGATCCTAGTATCTACGACAAATAGGATTTCAAGGTTTGTTTTATATATTGCTAAAGGATGATAAAATGTTTTTAGACCATTTTTTTGGCAGTGGATCTTAAAATTCTATGTGTGTGTTCGTGTTCGTGTGTATGTGTGTGTAGGAATGGAGATTCCTTCATGTGGATAAATTCGTGGAGACTTTTAGGAACGTGTTGGGCTGGAACATGATATCAAATGGGAAGAGAAGACAAGATGCGTATTACTATTGATATTGTCTTATGATTCTTGAACAATGAACATACATATAAATTGTTACTTTCCGAGCTTCTAAAGAGTGTTCTTGAATCTTGAATATAGTGTGAGTGTGTGTTTTACATTGTTGGAGAGTCTCGGATGTAGACTGTAAATCAAGAGTTTATATTTCTACGCTGTTCTTGTCTACTTTAGTAGTTATTCTTAACAATTTTCCTTGTTTCTTGTTTGAGATTTTCAACATTTGATTGTATCATTTATTGTTGTAAAATTATTAATTTATAATTTTAATGAGACTATATATTTACATAGATTTTTCTAAAAAGTTATTATCTTATTATTTTATCAATTTGTGTCAAATTTTAAACCGACCCAAAATTGGGACCGAAATTTTTTATTAATTTATAGGGATTACTAATTTAGTAGTTTATAGAGATTTCTACTGTATGACACAAACCACTAAAATACACGTTAAAAAAAAATTACATTCAATATGAATTAAAAGCTTCTGTCGTTAATCACCATGAAACTGTCTCACATATTCTTGTGTGAGAGGGAATAGGAAGAAGATGACAAAAAAAGGGGAAGCCTAATTGTTTAAAAATTATTAAACCGAAAATTAATTTGATTTAAACCAAATTTAAAAATTAATTAAAACCAAAATTAATCTAAACCGGAACCAGTACAATATAAACCAAAATATATGAGAAATTAACCAAAAATTCGTGTGGTTATGTCTGGTAAATTAATGTGACCTAATCTAGTAATTATATTTAATCAACAAGTCTGCCGTGAAAGACAGAAATTTAAAAAGTCTGCCACCAAATGAATACAAAAAATCGATTAAAAAACTAAATCGGTTATAAAAATCTGCCTCTAATTTTAAATCGGTCTTAAAATGTAACAGATCCAAAATAAACCTCAAAATTTTAAAAAATCAGTTACATATGCGACAGATTAATATATATAAATCGGTTGACAACCATAAATCAGTCAAATAAATCAGCCACCTCAAAAATATCTTCCGTAATTCTAAAGTCTGCCATCAAATATTTGGTAGATTTAAATTTAACAATAATTTTAATTAGCAGATTTATATATCGATAGATTTATTTTTCCGTAAACAAATCTGTCGTCGTCGATTTTTTAAATATAACCAATGGCCCTTTCGTAATATTACCTTTTCTTCACAACTGTTAGAAAGGACAGTTTCGACATTAAAAAAAAGTTAGTAATTTTAAAAAGTTATGAGTTATTCTAGTAATTAGTAGACTAATTTGAGTCATTTGAGTAAACGCCCCTTAAATTTAAGGTGTTGAAAATTTAGTAAATATAGAAGAAATCAAAAATTGTTTAATGTTGGTTGACATCGTTGTAAGTATAATATTTTTTATCTTTCATTATCGATTTGCATTAGTTATACAATTTAGTGTAGTAACTTATTATTGAGGGTATAAAGATTTATGCTTTGATGAACATTCACTTAACAACTTATATCGAAAAGATTTGTTTGTTGTAAACAATTTTACCATTGATAACTATACTACATAATATATAACGGATCTTCTAACTTTTCAAATAAAATTTTATACAACAACGAAAGTTATTACTTTCTATAATTTGATGATTTGGCAACCGATAATACTACATGTCTTATGATGATTTACACTTAACTGCATCACCTGAACCGTCCTATGAAAATTCACATTTGACCAAGTTTACTTACACCATACTGAAGATTTTTTGTAAATTTTTTCTTTGTAATTTGCATAATTGTTTGGTAATTGTTTAATTTTTTAATAATTCCCTTTACGGAGTTAATCTTCAGTCCGGAGACCTATTTATACACTTCACCTAATCAAGGATTACAAACCTCTATCTCACCATCAGTTGACAATCTTTCAGACAACTTATACCTTATATATACTCAATGTCGCCTTTGATTATTATCGATGTCAGATTGGGTAATAAATATTGGACCCATTTTTTTACGAGAACACAATCCATTGCTTTGGTAGATAGGCCCACATATGAAGAATACTGAACGTTTACAAAGCAACGATCAAGATCTTGAGATTTTCCGATCCTTATTACCTTAATCTTACTCACAGAATTGTTGAGTAAGAAATTTTTGACTTTATATCTAATATGTGGAGGATAAAATTCAAGACCTTCTGTCACTAACATTGTTACTGAAGGAAAAGGATCAACAGAAAGTCAATTTTTTTTCCTCTGTTTTTTTTTACAAGAGAAAGATTTGGATCACTATTGTGTTTTGGATCTTTTGACTCTATCTTATGTGACAACATCAGCTTGTGCTGTTATTTAAATCCTAGGATTCTCTGAGGTAAAGATCTGGCTGACAACTTTACTGAGCCCAATGCAGTGTCGTAGACCAACTTTTGAAATGTTGATACTACTAGTTTTAAATTAACATATTAGGTGGGATTAGTTAAATATAATTATTGAGACTACAAAACATGTGTGTAAAAACTAAGCAGACCTATTTGAGAAATTTAATCCTTATTACCATCTAGTAGTCAGATCAATGGCACATGACCACACATTACTGGATCATGAGTACTTCAAGCTGGTTCTAAATCTGATGACTGGTTGATTTTGAATTCGTAGACTCTAGATCATACCTGGTTGTTGGTAAACTAAGCATCCTCTAGATTGTTCAGATAGCAAGAAAACTAAGCTCCCTGATGAACTTACTACCTTTGATGCAGTAGAGCTAGTTCAAATCAACAAAACACACTTAATTCAAATAATCCTGTTTGGTTATTAAAGAAGCATCTGGAAGATGATGATGATCCACAAACCCCCTTATAAGGAGGACCGGAGATATTCGATGAGATAAAGACAACGGCAAAGAAAGATTCTCCCCGTTCTAGCAAGCATTACACGACAACATCTAATAATTTCATTTGGGCAGTAAAGATCCATATTTTCTGTTTGGTACCAATAAATTTGGACTATTTTCAGTTTTCTCCTTATATTTATGCATTTATCAAAAGAAACACCTCAATAGCCAAAATACTGAAACGAATTTCAACGATAGTAATTATAGTCGACAATATTTAATGGTCCAATCTCATAATAAAAATCTTATTACACATGTGAAGACAGTGCCTATAACGTGCACAAAAAGCCTACACACCTTCATAGCATTGCACGGATCTTCCAACCAAAGGATCTATTTAGTGGGATTCTTCATCTTCACTCGGTCATCGAAACAAGAACCTTCTGTATGATGCTTTTCAGCGCAGGTGCGCTAGCAGAACACTTGTTGTTCCCCTCAAAGCACGACTTACCTTGTTCTGCTGCTTTGCAAAGCTGCGGATCCAAAGGAACTTTCCCAAGAAACGGCACTCTCATTTTCTTACACATTCTCTCACAAGCAAGAGAGTTTTGTAACCGGTGGTTGAGTAAGCTAATAAATTTCACTGCAATGACAAGGGATCAGGTCCGGCACTGAAATATTATGGACTGGAAACCCAAAAACTGTAAAAATAATAAAACGATGGGTAAAGAATTTGAATGAATCAAACCCTTTGCAGATCTATATTTATGGTGGTTATTACCGACTGAGACATAGTAGATTTTTTTAAATGAGAGGCTGAAATTTTTGTTTATTGTAAACAGGGCTGGAAGCACGTGATAACCATGAAACCATTTTTTGGGAATGTAGGATTTTGTATCTTACTAGAGAGAGGATGAGAGTTGTGTGAGCTTTTTGGATTTAATTGTAAATGGAGCATGTGTGTATTTATAGAGCATTTAATTAGTACTTTAACAGTTGGATCACTGGAAGCAACATTATCACTTTATCTCGGTTGACCAAACTTTATAATGCAAAATCAATGTTTTTACAATCCGATAGGGTACTCCTGATGGGTAAACTTATCATGTTACATTTTCCCATTATAATAGTTTTTTGAAATATGATTATTTTACCAATCTATACAAGAAAACATAAAACTTATTTGAAAATTATAAAAAGTCAACCAACCAAGAGTTATGTAGCTCAAGACTATACCTTTAGGTAGTTCATCTTCAGTCCGAAGACATATTTAGACAATTCACCATATCAGGAATTATGATCCTGCATCTGGCTCACCAACGGTTGACAATTCTTCTGATAGCTTGTACCTTATTTATACACAATGTTGTTGTTGATTATTATCGATGTGGGATTAGGTAACAAATATTGGACCCATTTTGTTACAAGAACACAAGTAAAAGTCCATTACTTTAGTCAAAAGGACCATATATGAAGAAAACTGAACAATTACAAAGCAACAATCAAGATCTTGAGGTTTTCCTATCCTTATTACCTTAATCTTTATTCACAGAATTGTTGGGTAAATTTTTTTTGACACGAGATCTAATTGATGGAGGATAAACATTGTCACTAACATTGTTACCGAAGGAAACAAAACAGGGCAAGGATCAACATAAAGTTGAGTTTTTTTTGCTTACTCTGTTTTGTTTTTACAAGAGAGAGACTTGGATCACTATATGTTTTGGATATTGCGACTCTATCTTGTGTTTGAGAAGATCAGCCTAAATCCTAGGATTCCTTTGAGGTGAAGATCCAATGTAGTGTCATAAAGCAACTTTTTAAATGTTGATATACTGGTTTTCGATTTATATTTGGTGGAATTCAATCATTATTGGAGATTACAAAACATGTGGGTAAGACCGAGCTACTTAAAATAAGTTGAGAAATTTAATCAGAAGGCTGTTCAAAACAGAGACTGCGTTTTGTACTCGCATCATGCATTCGTTGAAACGCTGTCGCTTCGATCTTCAATCTTCAATCTGGTCGTTTTGTTTTTGGCCACCAGCTACACTACTGGAAGATGAGCAGTTGCTAGAATGAGAGCTTTCTTCTATGGAGTTGTTGCTATGTCTCTGAGATCTCTTCATCTTCTCTGGCCTTTGCGATGATGTTATCCTATACAACATACACCGCAATACTCAGCAGCCTCTAAGCTTAAGACTGTGCCACCATCAGGTGTAACATCAGCACAGACATCAAAAGAGAATAGTAAGGCGTCAGATCCTATATCGTCCCTCTTGAGCTCTTTAGTTTCAAAGGGCTTGATATCTGCTTTAAAGACTGATGACTGGATAGAATCAAAACCTGGAGACCTAGAACCTGAATATGAAGAAGTTATGAGTGAACCTGAGAGTGCTGTTGAGAATGGCCCATTCATAGCTGCTGATGAGAACCAATGCGCATGTATATTATGTTAAGAGATGTTTGTGGACTATTTCGGTCAAGAAGTGGCTCAATGGATGTTCAAGAGAGCTTCTTACCTTACCAACAGTGAAGCCATTCTTTTATTTAGTATAAATCCACCTTTTCTCGTTTGGTTCCATTCTTCTAGGAAATTGTTTGAGTAGCCTCCGATATGAGAGACAAGAAACCTATCCTGGAAGAAGTGAGGGAACAAGTTTGTGAGTTCTCATGATACTAGTTTTGTAGAAAAGTGTCAAGCTTTGAGTTAGAGAGAAAAAGTATTTTAAAAAAGTTTCTCATGTATATGCTTTGTCTCTCTCCCTCTTTTTTTTTTTTCATTCTATACGAAATACAAAAGACAAAGAAGCGTTCCCAGTAATGCATATTCTATATTATATGCCTTTCTTTCATGTGTCACAAAAGAATAGGCCCAAAAGAATATGCGTGCAATCGGAATTTTTATGAACACAGATTTGTAGGTTACGTGTCATGAGCATCAGAAGCAACCCATGAGGCCAAATATGTTACCTTGCCAATGACTATTTTTGTTGAAAGATTTTAATTATCATATTTCATTTTGAGTGTGATTGTTGTTAGAAGTTGCCTTCATGACAACCATTTACTTGCTTGAAGAGTGGGAAAAGAGCAAATTAAATCAAACATTTAGTTGGAGAGAGATATGCAAAAGGTGTGAGAGTTAAATTGTGTCTGTGGAGTGTTGTGACAGGGCTGTGTATGTAGGTGAGGTGAGAGCTAGAAAAGCAGAGAAGGAGCTCCCTTTCTCGTCGCTGTTCCTTCCTTTTGGGAAACCCACCCCCAATGTTCACGTGAATACGAGCTGGTCAACATTTAATGTGAAATCGGATAGGCTTCCTTTTCCATTTCGTTGAGGATAAGCTAAGGCTTTTTATTATTCGTAAATTCAACTAGTCATTGCTTAATCAGATTGGTCCAGTGATGCAAGTCTTTCCCTACCGTGTGTTCTTTTTTTTTTGTACGATTGCATAATTGTCATACTTTAGAAGACGTCACTTGGTATATGTTTCTTAGATTTACGAATATATATAAAAGACCAAACACACGTCTTATTACAACAACTAACCTGTATAATTCCAGGTCAAACTATTATTCAATTTGTTTTTTCTTGCAACAAGCTATTACTTAATTTTTCTTTTTGGCGGCAACTATAAATTAACTTGTTTATGTAGATTAATAATTTTATAATATAGACTGAAAGAGCTATCAATGGTCCGTTCCTTGAGTTTTCATAAAGACGTTTTCTATTACGACTCAAGAGAATTTGTTTTCTACAATTATGGATTTATAAATAATTAGTGAATAAATTGACAAAGCTACTTTTAGTTGTATCAAGCAATTAAAAGTATTTGTAGAAAATTTTTAATCAATGACTAAGAAAATATGTTAGTCACAATAAATACCATTCAAATCAAACTCTGTTGTTGGATTATACATGATTGATAAAATCAGGAATATCTAAATTCATTAAATTATTACATGCTGATAATGCAGGGAACATGGTTAAAAAACTATAGTATAAATTTTTATATCTCTTGATCTCTTGTCGTTGGCTTATTTTTCCATATCCAACTTACATTTAATGATCCGATTTATTTAAATTTTTATTTCAACTGGAGTTTAAAAAAAAATATTTTACAGACCGAACGTAACTAAACTCAAAAAGTCAGAAGAGAGAGAGAAAAATGGACACCTTCACATGCCCGAATGAACACACATCCGAGACAAACAAGAATCATTCATGTCTTCCTTTCTTCTCCATATCTCCTCTGCAACTTCCGTACCAAAACTTTAAAAACTTCCTCAGGTTTATTTATTTTTACAATTTTCTCCCGGGAACAAATTCACTCGTTCCACTAACTCTGTCAAGCCTATGCTCTTCCACGTCGTTTCTAATCTCCAAAGACAGAATCTGTAAACTCCACCAAAAACATTATCTTCTTTTCAAAACTTTGTCTCCCTCCTCAAGTTATTTCTTATCTCTTCTTTAATCACACGTATAGCATCCATAACCTTTCTTCTTCCTCTTCCTTAAAGTTTCCAACTTTCTCAAAAGAATTACTTTCATTTTCTTCCTCTCTTTCTCACCATGAGAGGTCTCGCGGCTTGTTACAGCGAACACGCCATTAAAGTCTCAGACACGTACTGTTCTGGTCCTTCTAACCATTCCTACATCTCTCCGACATTACCTCCTTCCATCCCCGACACGGTAACCACCACTTATACATCCTCCTCCTCCGACAACAAACCCGTCTCTGTTTACCTCACCTGGTCGGAAAATCTTACCGTCGTGATCTCGACGGCGGCGAAATCTTACTCCGTTTCACTAAAGAAACCAAAAGGGTCGAGAAAGTTGACTTCTTCCTCCGGTTCACTCAACGCTGAGATCATCTGGGATCTAACGGAGGCAGAGTACGAGAACAACGGACCTGAACCGATCAGAGGATTCTCCGTCGTTGTTGTGGTGAATTCCGAGGTTTCCCTGAGAGTCGGCGACGTTGACCAGGAGACTCTCCGGCGAGATACCTCGACGTGGCGGGTCTCGAGAACGGAGAGATACTCCGGGAGTTGTTGGCTCTCGACGAAAGCTAAATTCTCCGACAACGGAACTAAACACGAGATTCAGATTCAATGCGGCGGAGGAGGAGGAGGAGGTGGTGGTGGTGGAGAGGAAGGGTATTTATGGAAATTAAAAAGTCCTGAAACGATGTCGGTTTGGGTTGATAAGAGGAAAGTGTTTCAGGTGAAGAAGCTTTTGTGGAACTTCAGAGGGAACCAAACGATGTTCTTTGATGGTATGCTTATTGACATGATGTGGGACTTGCACGACTGGTTTTTCAAAGAAACGGCCTTGTCTACTTCGACTTCATCGTCTAAAACGACGTCGTCCTCGTCCTCTTCTTCCTCCTCCTCTTCTCCTCCGTGTGCTGTGTTTATGTTCAGGAGGAGGAGTGGATTGGATAGTAGATTGTGGCTCGAGGAAGATGAAGAAGAGAACAAGAAGATTGGATTAAGAGAAGCCAAACATTCGTTTTCTCTTGTCATTTGTGTCTCTAAAAAGTAAAATGTAACAGAAACAAGACATTTTTACTACTAATGCATTGATTTTTAGCCGTTTGTACCATTGATGGTTTTGACATTAACATAACTCTTCGTTGTCTGATTTTAATATATACTAAAGTTTTTATGATATTTGAAGTAGATGTTCTTCGTTAGGATATACAATAGTATGTTATTGCTCGCCCTTGTAATTTTGGCACAACTCATCTTCGACAACACATGTGACTATTAGTATTATGTAGACCAAGAACTATATACCAAGTATAGCTATGCAGACGATGTGCGTCAATGTAGTGGCAGGGCCATACACGTATAGATCATCTGACTCTCAATTTGCTAATCGTTTCAAATTCTATAAATCTATGGAACAACCATGTGTAGTAGATCCATTAATCATAATAATGATTGTAAAATGGAGCCATTGATTATGGTCTTTTTTTTTTTCTTGCCGCCTACCGGTAAGCCATTACTTATCATCCAACGCCATATTATTTTATTTTCAAGTTTCGATGAGAGTATGATTCCAAAATTTTGAACAGTAAAATTAATCATGGATCACGTGTCTGTCTCTAGACCCGGCTCAAAACCAACTATCATTTGTCCGTTTTTTTACTAGTCGTGTGGTTTCGGTTTAACGAGAAACAACATATACCTAATCTACCTTTCGTCGTGTACACATTTAATTTTGACCATTTGCTTTCTCGCATGCATGTCCAACGGTACCAAAGATAAGCTTAAAGAAACTCCTAACTCTGTCTCTGTGACAAACAAAAAACAACCAAGTGACAACCCCACAAGTTAATTAATGAGCGCTTGGAACTCTCTCACAAAGCTTCACAAGTTCACTTTGAATGCAGCATGTAGATCCCACCCCAAAATGATAAATCCTCTCTAGACAGCTATTAGATTTACATGGTTTTTTAGGTTGTCTGTTTATTTGGAGAAGTTTCACGAGGATTCAAGGTTCTGTCATGAATTTTTCCTTTTCTTTTCACGGGATTTATAATAATAATCCTCTTCTCTTTTCTTTATTAAAAGAAAAAAAATGGAGAAAAGGATCTATCTACGTATAGAATTGTCACAATCTATGGCTGGGTTTGATAGCGTGGAAGTTTGCCTTCACTATCACGACATCAAAACTGAATTTATATTCTTAACCGTACGTGGTAGACGAATTATGCATCAAACAAATGTATTATGTATATAACCTTTTTTAATAGCCTAAAAGGCAGCGATAGGAAAAAAAGTAATGAAGGAAGACTCTAGAAGAATTTGATGATTCTTTAAAATACTACACAAAGACGGAGAAGGGAAAGAATTCTTTGGTTCATTCGCTAGTAACCAAACGAACTCTTCCATTTAAGCGGAATTTGGCACCTTCCTATGAGCTATGAACTCCACGCTTCTTCTTGGCTTTCAAGCTATGTCTTTTGAGTCCGAGTGTCAGTAGCTCGTGAACCTACTCAACAACGAAGAAATGGAAGAATGGCTAACTCTAATGGCCGAATGAGAAGTATTTCTTCTTCTTAATTCTAAGTTTAACTTTTGCTCCATCAATTTTATCCCTCGTACTCTAAACTCTCAAGCGGATTTCTTGCAAAAGAAGCCCGATCTCGCAATCATGTATTCTTCTATGTTTAGGTTCTGAATAAATGGGATAAAACCAACCTACTAGAACCAAGATAATAAAATATGAAGCTTTCGTCATAAAAGAAAAAAAAAAAGAAGTAATTTGATGATTCATTGTGGAGAGTCTCGCAGTTTTCCTTTTAATGGCCTACTCATTATAGTCCCGCATCAATATCAGATCTTTCCAATATCTAAAAGTCAAATTTTGCAAATGTACACTGTTTTCTACAAACTTTTCATCTGACTAAACTAGATTAAAAAATGTTAATTACTGATCAGCAATTATTAGGTAGGGTGATTAAAGAGACTGTTATGGAACTCCAGAGATTAGAGAGTTTGACGAAAATTGTTGGGCTTACAACTCTGGAGCCCAAACTGCAATATTTTTGCTACAAGTAGCCGACATGTTCTGGGCTTACCTGTCATGCTTTGCATCACAGATCAACATACATATATATTATAACTTCTTCTATAATAATGCAACTAGGATAAGATTTGCGCATTGCACAAGGTGGATGTATATAACTAAAATATAAAAATTTAGTATTGGAAATTTAAAAATTTACATATAATTATTTTTATATGTATTTGGAATTTTGAAATTTTAGAATTTATATATAATTATAGATACGTAGTATCAAAAACAATTGTAAGTAGAACTGTAGATCAAACTTAGTAAGTTAATAGATACGGTTCATATTTTTTTTTCACTTTCCAGTGTTTGAGTGATGAAAAATAAACGGAGTGTCACATGACTTAATTGGTAGAAATTATCAAGTTCCCTAATGCTTTCGTAAGAAACAGTTGGTAGAATATTTGCATTTAGAATATATAAATTTTCAAAACTAATTTAATATAATTTATTTATTTATCTAGTTATATCAGAAAATTATATTTTTAAAAATTATTTTTAAATAAATAATATTTTTAAAAAAATTAAGTTATATTTTAAATTATAATTATGTTTAAAATAAAATTATTTATTCATACGATATGAGATATATCTATTATCATAAAGAAGAGTTTCTTCCCTCATGTTATGCCATGTCACTAATTCGTGCTCCAACAACACGCCACGTGCCCCATCTCTTTAAACTTTATGTTTCATTAAGTCATATATTTTGTGTGTTTGGGCTTATTTCGTTTGTGTTATTGGGCTTATAGTTTGATGTGGAGATAGCCCGATAGTCTTGCTGAAACAACTTTAATTGTGCGTTCACGAAACATGAAAGTTTACGGTTCTTCTCTCCCCTTTGTTCTGCGGCGACCAAGAAATGATCGTCTGGTTCTCTGTCACCTTCAATGGTGTTTGGAGAGAATTTTTTTGACTCAGATTAATCTTCAGTCGCGTCTCTTTGTATTCAATCTTAGTAATCGAAACTCTCTGAGATACAAATGCTTCCCGTTTATGGCCTTCTTAATCCATAGATCGACGTGAACCACAAACTGACATTGAATGCTATGAGATATTCCTCTGCAAGGCGATGTATCAACAACTATAAAATGGTAAGCATTTTTATTTTACAATAGATCATATATTTTAAAAAAAACATTAAAATAAAATAGTAAATAAATTTACTTATACTATTATATTTACTTTCTAATATTTTAAGTTCACAAACTTCTTATTAAAAATAATCAATCTGATTAAATAAATATTATATAATCCAAAACTATTATAAAACACTTTAGCATGTTATATATAAATAATTGATTTAAAATGAAGTCAGAATATATAATAAAATATTATTTTTAGAATAAAGTGTAAGAATTATACTATGCTAATTTCCAAGTATCAATTATTTTTAAATCTCTAATGATGTGTTACTTAGATTACATAATTATTTCAAACATCGTAATAGTATATTTAATACTCAAACAAAAATGTGTAACTTTAGATAGTAATGCTCACTTTTAATTTTTTATGTAATCTAAACTTGGCACTGCTTATTAGTTATTACTTATAACTTCACTAAACTTATCGAGAATTTTTCAAAAACTAGCTTTAACTATTACAATAGTTAAACTAAAAAAACATTAAAATGCAAAGTAATATATTCATTAAAATTTTAATAATTAATAAGTTTATGATTTTTAAAATAAATAGTCAAATATATAGAAAAATTGTTTTAATAAAAACATGAATATTAGTTTTAATTTAAGTTAAGAATAAGTTACATTTTGAGTAATTTATATTATTTGTTAATCCGCCATAGGGTGGGCCTACCCTAGTATATATATATTAGCATAAACACCTATCAACATAAAATTATTTATTCATATGATTTTATAATTATTGTAATTTATTATAGAAAAATAGACTTTGATCACAAAAGTTTATGTGAGATTTTTAACAGTTTTAGTAATTTATACTTATTTTGAAAATTTGAAAATATAACATATATAAGAAATCTAAATTTTTATTACATGATTAGTGTAGTTGTGTAATTTATTTAATAATAAAAATTCAAAAAATAAATGATATAAAATATATAGATTGTTAAGAAATCTTTATTATTTAAAATCATTAATAGTCATATATATCTTAATCACATTAGGTAATTGCGTAAGTTTTATTTAAGGAAAAAATATATAGAATATTTAGTTTGATATGTCTTATATGAGACCCACATACCTTATATTAAAACTATGATTTATATAAGATGCTCTAGAATCCTTTTAAACTGAAATAGAATGCATAGAGAGATGCCACGTAGGATGAGATTATACAACTTTTTAAATGTTTGTCAACTAATATATAGGGGATAAAATACATTTTGTAACTCGTAGGATTACACTACTATTTAGGAATCAGATTGGACTGTTTAGAGGAGTCAAGCAGGATTTTTTTTTACCTTCTATGACACTTTCTGTCTTATGAATTACACATTTAAACACTTTACGCTGGTCAGACACTTTATGAGTGTTTATTATCTTTCATGCCCTCAAACTAACCAATAAGCTCACCTAACTGAACCAGAGACATCTAATTGTAGTTACTTTAATTTAAAAGCATATCCACTTTCCCTTTTCCAAATTCTTAATCCTATTTTCTTTTTCATATCTCTCTTCTTTCTCACGTTCATATCCACCGTATCTCAGAAAATCTTCTACAACAAACTATGACGAAACTGAAATCAAAGAAGAAAGTCAAGAGTTGCACGTCTGAGGATCTAGACCCATCGCAACACAGGTAACACCGTCGTTCTAAGTCTTCCGAATCAATTTGCCGTTGTCACTCTTCTTTCCTTCCAATTCAAGGTATGCAAAGTTTGTTTCTTCCTAATTTACACCTATTATGTTCGGATCCAGTAGTATATGTTTATATTATCTGTTACACATGCAAGTTTCTTCCTGATCTACACTTTCAATTTCTCGATTCAAACCCAGATAACACTTCTTTTTTGTTTTTAGGGATTTTGTTTACTTTTCTCCTACCATAAACTTGATTTCACTGTTTCTTTTCAGATTTGCCAAACTTAGTTTTATTATTTTATTCTTTTCATTTTTTTCAGGGACAACCAACCCGACATCCGTCTAAATATGACTAGACAACACCGAAGATAAAAATGTGTGGTGTGGACATGGAAGAGGTGGATAAGTGGTATGTGGATGGGGGGCTGGCACGTGGATGGGTTATGTGTAGACGAATGATCTGGAGATTGTTGATGTACTGTATATGTGGTCGTCGTGTTATTAGTGGACTGGATCTCCTAGGACTAGTGGGCTGGTTTCTTGTGATGTAAGACAACACCGATGATAAGTTTGTGGTGTGGATATAGGAGGGGTGGACAGGTGGTATGTGGATGAGGAGTTGTGTTGATCGCTGGCGCGTGGATGAGTTATGTGTGGACGAATGATGTGGGGATTGTTGATGTGTGGATGGTATCATCGTGGTATTGCTGGACATGATCTCCTAGAATGGCTTCTGGTGATGTTTTGTTTGATGAAGTGGATGCATGTGAGTTATCCACAACTAATGGATCGATTATGCAATCTATTATGCAATTTGTGTTTTTGTTCATTGAATTCTCTATAATATGGATATGAATATGGATATTGATTACGTCCACATTTTTATGCCATCCAAAAGTTTATTTTCCAAATTGACAGGTCTATCCATAATATAAAAAGATCATATTTTTTAGTTCTCATACAATGAATACAAACAATTAATTCGTGTAATTGATAATTTATTATAATTTAATGATCAAAAATAAAATACCACTTCTATCACAAATCACCACTCATTTTCACCTCTAACGTCTGTTATTGGTTTCCACAAAATAGACATCAATTTAAAATAATAAATTGCTAACTATGCTCTTCTCTCCTTTAACCCAACGACAGGGGTAGAAAAATCAGGATAACCTATGTGGATGAAGAGAAAGTGTGTCTCCAGCTATAAGTGTCTTATCATGTCAAAAAAGTGTCCTAAGATGAAACTTACTCGTCAGGCAGAGTGGCGAAGCCAGCTCTATAGGAAGTGGGTCACTTGACTGACCATGGTGGATTTCATGTTACATTATATTCTTTTGTTGATATTTAAGAAACGAAACTGGAATACTATTGCAAAGGTTAATTTATTGACCCCTATTAAGTATGTTAATTCTGAAATTTACCTTTCTAAAAGTTTCATATGGTTCCACCTCTAGTTACGCAGGTTATTAATATATAATAGAACTTGATATGTACTTCTATGTGAGTATCTGATTTTACTTGTGTTCAACATAAACTCATAAACTGTTGGTTTTAGAAAAAATATATATAATTTTTTATGTTTTGTAATTTACATATAGAATATAATATATTATTTTATAGTATAAATATTTAATAATATTTTTTATTTGTACATGATATTATATTAGAAGTTTTATAATTTGATGCAATTTGATGTAATTGTACTATTCAAATATTAACATGTTGTTTTTTTTGTTAATTTATTTTAAAATGAAACAATATACTAAATATTAATTTTTGCGTTAGTTTTCAATGAATTATCATGATTTTAATTTTATGATACTTTCTTTTCTTAAAAATTAAAATCTCAAAATTTTAGATTTGACTAAATTAAATAAGTTAATACTCTATTTAAAAATTGTTTTATATAATATGTACTATATATATTTCAGTTTGTGTTTTTATTTTCACCACAAAGAAAGAAAAATCCTTGTAATTAATTATTTTAAACTGATTTTAAATGCAATAACAGAATCTGTAAATAAAAAATATATAAAAAGAATGTATTTAATTTATTGTAAATGCAATAGCTAAATGTGCAAATAAAAGGAAATACTTAATATACTATCTATATTTTCAAACAATTCTCATTTATCCTGCTATTTTTATTTCCAAACAGTACCAAAAGATATTCCAATTTTAATAATATAGATATATTTCAGTTTGTGTTTTTATTTTCACCAGAAACAAAGAAAAACTATTCTAATTAATTTAAATTGATTTTAAATGAAATGATAGAATCTATAAATAAATAAAAATATCAAAAGATAGTATTTAAGTTATTGTAAAATGCATTAGCTAAATATGAAAATAAAAGGAAATACTTAATCTGCTATCTATATTTCTAAACAATTCTCATTTATCATGCTATCTTTATTTTCAAAGAGTACTAAAAGGTACTCCAGTTTTAATAATATATATATATATGTATATATATATATATATATTCTTCTCTATTAAAAGAGAAATATCAAATTTATCTACTATTTAGAAGTCATGTTGGACCATGTCCTTAATTATTTAATTTGACATGTTTTATTATTACATTAACCAATCAAATATATATTACTTTCAAAATATCTTAATAATTAATAAGGATATTAATAATAAATAAATTTAAATGTAACAAACTCTGTTGAAAAAATCTAACAAGATCTTACAAAAAAATTTAAGTATTGGTTTTTATAAAATAATTATTTATTTATTTCGTTATTAGATATAATTATAACTAAAACTAAAATATAAATCATATATTTAAAAAATTTAGTTATATATTTATAAAATGAAAATATACCCACACGGATGTGCGGGTGAAACTCTAGTTGTTTTATTATAATACACTAAAAATTCATCAATATAATTTTATTCATTAAGACTCTAATTGGGGAGCAGGAAAAACATAATATGAAAATTAAAGAGGAAAAAATGAAGAGAAACATAATAATATGAATATTTACTTTTATTGTTCATTTCTGAATTTGATAAAAAAAAACCTTTTATAAAATTCCTTAAATTAAAAGGAATAAAAAGGAATATTAGAAAAAAAAATATTTTTTATAAATGGTATCAAATTTGAGGAACGGAGAGAAAATAACTATTTTTACTCATTCATTTGGCCATCATTTAGAAGTTTGAATCTCAATCTCTTATTTAAAAGCTTTTTAAAGTTAATGAATATCATTTTATTTAAAAACAAAAAACACTTAAAGTTACTCCAACCTATACTAGTCAATGCCTAGTTGGTAACTATCTTAAATAACTTAAACAGAAATGTTCAATTTACCATTTGCAAAAATATCATCGAATCATCATTCAATCTCTCAAGTCTGAAGTCATAAATTTCCACATAGATATTTGACAGCCTTGATCTGCCAATCAAGGCAGATCTGCACACACACCAACAATACATGGCACAGAAATTTGATTTAATTAGGTGAAATTTTAAATTAATATAAATGGAGCTGATGCGGACGTATCCCACGGTTTATTGAGACGTGAAATTGATTTCCTACCCTTATGGATTTGACAAGTTTTGTTGAGAATAATAAAGGAATTCTATTACAATATAATAATGTTTAGTGGAGTGATAAAGCCTTAATTAGATAAATTGACCTAAACAGCGATAACACTAAGTTGTTTCTTAGCATTTCTAAAACACTAAGATATGTCATTACTATATAAGAGCATCATCATCGCTGCCTCTTATGGTAGCTCTAAGGTGATGGGACTCAAATTTTTTTTAAAATCTTCTCTTCTCTCTTCTTCCGCAAGAGATAATTCTTATGCCAATTCGCGGATCCCACGACACGTGGCAACCAATGATTGTTTCTTTTTATTTTTACTTTTTCTAAACTGACAAAAGTGAAAAAAAAAATCCTAATAGTATTCTAAGCGATGATGATGCTCCATGTATTCTTCTCCAATTCAACTCTATATTCATTTCCATCCTGGAATAACCATTCACCCCAAAGTACGCGATATATGCATAAAATATTATATATGTGTGTTAAGTAACGCTACCACATTGAAGCGTTATCTACCTAGTGTTATTTCAAGCAAAAGTAAGTAGTCTAACTCCTAATTAAAGTGTTTATAAAACAAAGTGATGTCAAGATCATGAATGACATTTATATATGTTTTATGTATTAATTCATGAACCTGAGATGACGAAAACTACCACTTTAGATAGAAACGGGCATATACACATCTGCGTTATTTGACCACCACCTAAAAAACGCGATTTTACAACCAGAAGAGCAATTAAAGTATGTCTTTACAGCTTTAACTTCATCATCAAAGAGCTGTTATCACTCCCTTGCAAACCCTAATCTCTTCATCCTTAACTGGTTTGCACTTTCTTCACTCTTCTCTTCACTACTTCACTCTACAACTAACTTAACTCCCCCATAAAATGGCTTCGATCTCATCCTCTCCCTCATCAAACTCATCACCCATCTCTCCTCAAAACCCTAATTCTCATTATCAATATATATAATATATGGCAGGAACCTCCAAAGAAAATGGTGGCCGCAACCCTTTGTACAAGGGAGTGAGACAACGAAAGAACTCAGACAAATGGGTGTCCGAGATACGTGAACCGAGGACACCTAACCGTATCTGGTTAGGAACATTCTCGACCCCGGAGATGGCGGCAATAGCCTATGATGTGGCTGCTCTAGCACTCAAAGGAACTCAAACTGAACTAAACTTTCCAAACTCAGCGTCCTCTTTCCCTGTCCCAGCATCCATGTCTCCAGGAGACATCCAAGCCGCAGCCGCTTCAGCCGCCGCTGCTTTTGGTGCTGCTAGGGATGCGATTGAAATGGCCAACAACAACAGTGTGGAACGGAGTAACGTGATGATGATGAATGGTAGTTGTAATGAGAATGCATATGGATTCATGGACGAGGATTTGATATTCGACATGCCTAATATGCTCATGAACATGGCTGACGGAATGCTTCTCAGCCCACCACATCAACCCACCTTTGATGCTGCTTCTGATGCTTATGGTTATGCAGGAGCAGACGATTACTTGTGGAGTTTTCCTAGATAATTAAACTAATAAACTATATTATATATAAAAGTATGTGAGTGTGTGTTTGTATATATTATATATACAGTTTGTATATGAAATAAAGAAACGGTATCTAGTTATGCATTGCATTGCATGCATGGTTAGGTCCAGTTAAGACCGTCAGATAAGGTCGTACTGTATTAAGTTTTTGTCTTTAGATTATTGTCTTACAAAATCTAGTCATGATGTAAATCAATTCCAAATGTAATCACAGTCAATGCATTGAGTGATACTACTTTGTTTAGATACAGATATGTATATTTTTCTTTATAAGGCCTGGTATCAAATTGTGTGTTGATATAACTGATATTTGTAATAGACTATAGTTCCTATAATCCAAAGCTAATTTGGCAGAAGTATGAAACATTTTGGACCGTGAACCATATTTTCGAAGGTGCTTGTGTATGGAAAAGAGATCATGTTTTCGTCATCAATATAGAATAATTCTAGTTGCAACATGTTCTCGACCACAACATTATATCTCGAAATGTGGTAGTTAAGTTTCGATGTAGTTTGAATTTTGGCCTAGAAAAGTTTAGCTAAAATTAAAAGGTAATTTTAACCGTATTAGTCTTATTTTATTTGTTACCTAAGTAACTTAAAGAATGAACTTGAGCATTACATATATATATGTATTTATACAAAAATATTTTCTAACGATACTCGAGGTCGACGATACGTAAGAATAAAAAAGGTGCTAAATGGGTTTGGTGAGGATAACACACAAGTTGGTTGTGGATACAAGTCATAATCGAATCATAAGCTTGCTGATTTTTGTATATGTAGTTTTCTTGCGACATTGATTACTTGATTTTATTTTAATTTAGTCAAGGTCTTTTCGAGACATACATGTGTTAAGTTTAACCCAATATTGATCAGTTAAAATGATCCATTCCACATTTTTATATTAATATAATTAAATAAAGAAGTACATACCTAACATTTTGGTATTTGACCTCATATAAATCTGGAAGACTCGGAAGTTGTAAATTAACAAAATCGGACATCAAACGAAAATACTTTTGTTAATAAACAAAAAGTGATAATGTTTTATAAGTTGTAGAAATTAGTATCTTTTTTTGCATATTGCTGGTAAAATCGAATTCTTAAAGTTTTGAATTTGATACCGGGCACTGGAGAGGCTTGTCAACTACACAAAACAAATATCAGTTTCTTTAATTTAACACTTACGAAATTAGAGCAATGGTTGTAACTTGTAAATCAATGAGAGAGTAAGGAAAATTGATTGTGTTTATTCATTGATCATAAGTTCCCTTTATATAAGGGTAAGATATAGAAAAAGAAAATTATTCAAAACCTAAACCAACTAAGATTAGAAAAACTACTTATACAAATATGTAAAATGTTAAGTCTAAACCGTCATATATATACTACACAAATTGAATCTAGATAATATGGTTATTACTCATCCACTAATTAGTTCATAACAATCCCCTTTGTATGTCATAATTATATAGAGTTTGTAATACGTTTTGTATATTGCCTCATTAAAACCTTTTCAGGAGAAACCCAAAAACCCAATTAGATAAAATCTGGATAAAACCATGAATAAGGAAAAAGAATACAACACGTATTACTTCACCTGATTTGAACATCATTGAAAACTTGGACGTGATGTGCTTCTTTTGCTGTCGACCACTCCATGCTCTGGTCGGACATGTTGTTATAGTCCTCGACCAAAAATACTTCACGGATGCTTCATGATCCATACGGATGTGTTTGGTTATCCCATTGACCGTTCTATGCTCTCGATCACACACCCGATGATGCGTATACCACCATGTATATAACATAGACTGATTTAAATCATTCTCATAGCTCTCATTCACTGAGTATTTACTTAGTCTATATGCATCTGCTTTGTTCCAGTCTATAAATATGTCTGTTCAGCTTAAAACAATGATGTTCTTGAGAATTTCTTATCTCATCTTTAAACTCAATACCTTATGATATCTTTATCATTATTATCTAGTGGACCATATACAGCTTACTATATCCTTTATATGTTAATCTAATTTCTTTCTTATGATCAGACCTTATCAATTCAAAATATGTAGTAGCATCCACCACATGGGAGTATATCTCCTCATAATCTATTTTTGGTCTCTGTGAGTACCCTTGTGCAATAACAGGTTTTATATCTCACGATTTCTATTCCTCATAAGAACCATTTATATCCACTGGTTTAATCATCATATGGCGTCCTTCTCATTTGGCTAAAATACGCCTTCTCTTCTTTTCTTATATAACCCCACGTTTTCATCTAATTCAATTTAATCTATGAATGTATTTTAATACTGACGTGGATTCATGATCCTCGTTTTTATATCTATAAGTTCAAGTGCTATCTTTTATGCGCTTCCTTATATGAATATATCATCTATGTGTCGACACTCTTATGTGGTTCCATGGTGTTCCAGACATGATCTAATCAATTTGAGATTATTATCTAGGACCTTTATTACCTAGCAGCTTGGCGTGTCAAGCTACATGGTTTGGTACCTTAGATGTTCAGCTGGCCAACCTTATCTCCATGTCTGGTCTGGTTTCCTTTGACCTCGGATTTGTTATCATTCTATGCATCTTTCTCTTTTCTTTCTGGGGATTCTTATCTTATGGAACTTATTGGTCTACCTTGTCTAGACTCTGTAGCAATTTGACTGTATCTCTTTACGACATCAAATTTGTTGGTGTAAGCTGGTATGACTTAGTCATTTTTTTTTATTTTCTTGTCTTTTCTTTTCGGGTCAGCAAATGTGTCTAGCATTTCATTAGCTAGATTTATAAATGTATAATCTTTGTATTTATCTTTGGACGTCTTATTTCACTATCTTTTGTCCGAGGATCTTTCCAAGATAATGGTGGTTTATTCCATTCTATTGCTCTTATCATTATTTTACCAGCTTATTATTCCCCCCCCCCTTGGTGTTGGATAGCCGGATTCATTAACATGCAATCCGTGTACATGGCCACTAAAAAAATCACCCATGGTCGGCTCTAGGTATTAATATTCGTGGGAGAAAACATACCCAACATATATCCCCATCCTCATCCTCTTTTAAGAATCCATCTTAGACGGCACATATATCTGTGGTGGTTTTAACAAATCTGATATTAAGATGGTATATGTCTGACTCATGACCCGTAATCAATTTGAGATGAGAATATCTATGCTCACTAGATGGCCTGATGCGTATTGCTTAGATGTATGTGAAATTCGTATGTCCCCAAGCCTTGGACTGAGAGTTTGGACCTTGGGTAATGGCCAATATGGATTTACAAGAGGATTCAGCTAAGCTATTTATAGTATGGACATGTGCAGATTTGTCCTCACTGCCCCCTCATGAACATACTATAATCTTTAAGTGCTTGGGACATGATGGCCTAATGAGTTTTCCTTGTGTTCATGCTACACACGTGAGATTCTATGAGATAACTCTTTGTGTCCTTTTCATTGTCAATCTCTGCATCATGTTTTGAACCAAGATGGCTAATCCGGTTTATGCCATAAAGTGAATAATATTGTGGGTAAACCATTCTGGTTACCATGGCTTTTGCCTCAATCATACTGATCTTTGCATAGTAAAATCAGTAGAGAATGCATGTATAGTCTTGACCACTTTTCTATGGCCTTTGTCGATTTTTATAATCTGAATTAACTTTTATTTCCTTTGCTCATTGTTTCAATGTGAAAACCATTCTTATATCTTTAAAATTCAATGGGCTTTTCTGGGTGAATATAAATCATGCCCTTTAGGCAATGATACAATGCCATGGTCGTGGTCCTTTATTGGACTTACTATACTTGCAATTTAAACTCATATTGGAGTTTTTTTAATAATGAAAATCATTCATATTATTAAGAAAAAATCAGACAAGATCATAGCAATAAAATAAACTCAAAGAAATCATATTATTATAAAGAAAGCGTAAACATCAAACAAAGCAAACACCAAATCAAACAAAAACACACAAAAAGCCAAAATTTATTCTCTTAGGCAATCTAAAGTCTCATAATCTATAAGGTCATCCTACTCATGATCAAAGTCGTTTTTCCCATCACGGTGGACCAAATGGGCTTTGGCTTTTTCCCTTTCTGGCTCTCTTGGTAGATGTCACAAAAATGTCTGGGAGTCCTACAATTCTTAGCCAAATGGTTGTCCATTCCACATTTGTGGCACACTGATTTCGACGAGTGTGGTGGTTTAGAGATACCACTGCTTCTGCCTCCACCACGGCCATAGCTGGGACCATGGCCACGGTTATAGTGGTTCCCTTTCCCATGGCCGTGTGAGCTATAATTGCCTCGTCCACCACGGCCTCCTCTGTTGTATCCATTGCCGTGTGGTTTATCATGATGGATGTGGTTGCTTTCTTTGGATTCTTTAGTTTCTTCTACAGTCTTATTGGCTTCTGGTAATGGGGTTGATCCAGGAGGTCTCATCTCACTATTTCTCATCAATAACTCATTATTATTCTCGGCCAAAAGTAGGCACGAGATCAGATCCGTATAGGTGGTGAAGCCTCTTTCTCTGTACTACTGTTGCAGCAATATTGCTGGAATGGAATGTAGAGAAATTCTTTTCTCGTAACTCCTTTTCGATTACTTCTTCACCACATAGTCTTATCTTTGAGACAATCTTAAACAATACTGAATTTTATTCATCCACGGACTTATAGTCCTGGAATCTGAGATTCCTCCATTCATAACTAGCATTTGGTAGCACCGGTTTCTGGTGATCATATCTCCGCTGTAAAGCGGTCCAAAGGTCTAGAGGATTTTCAATAGTGATATACTGATCTTTTATAACCTCAGTGAGATGATGGCGAATAATACTTATTGTCTTGTATCTATTTATATCATTCTCATTGTTACCCTCGATGATAGTCTCACCGAGTGCTTTTGACCTCAAGCAAATCTTAGTATCTAATGCCCACTGCAAATAGTTATCTACAGAGAGATTAAGGGTAGCATAATCCAGATTGCATATTTTCGACATCTGAATCAATATCAATAAGATTTAGGGTTTCATAGCACGTATATCAATCAATACAATTGGATATTTATGGCTTATCAAACAATACAATTGGATTTTATTAAACAAGAATCACGACCCAACAATTCTGATCGACCATGGTGCGGATCAATCCTAGGGTTTGAGTTCTACATGTAATAAAGATGATAAGGGCCATAAGGCCACACAGCCATGATATAATCAGATTCAAACAATTATGCAAGCAAAGAACTTTAGGAATCAATGACCATATATATTCAGATTCTATATTAGGTTTAGGGTTTAACAAAATTAGGGTTTCCGGATCAGGGTTTTAGATTAGGGTTTTAACAATTAAACAATCTTTACTTATGATCTTAAACCTCACAACAATATGATAAACAATCAGCTTTAGCAATTTGTGATTTAGGGTTTTCAAGGCCTTTTTAGGGTTTCAGTTCCAATATTAGGTTTAACAAACAATCTATCAATCTAAACCTCATATCAATAAATTTAATCTAGAAAGAATCAACAATCAAATCAGATTCATAAAATTAGGGTTTTAAAAAATCCTAAGCACCCGCGTTCTAAGTTTTATGTAATTCTCAAATCAAAACAATCAAGCAATCTATCAACCTGAACAAACCATTCAACGTAACAATTCTATTCGCAAATTAGGGTTTCTTATTAGGGTTTTGATTCTTTAGGTTTTATGGATTAATCGGAATACCTTATGTTTGATGTGTAGAACCGGAGCACCAAGAGATCAGATTGAGAACTGGATTGAGTTGGTGCTATCGGATCGTGGTCGGGATTGGATGAATGCTTCCTTTCGGGTTATGCAGGAACTGATCTGAGAAGGAACGGCTGGTTGATCGCGAGGTAGGGCTTCCACCGGAAAAAAGGAAAACCCTTAGGGTTTTGGTCGAGAAAAGGAAAATCGGGTGGAGGAGCTTCGCCGAAAAAGGAAAGAGCCGGCGGCTGTTCAAGGGTTTCTTGGTCGGATTTTTAGCTAGGATTTTGAGAGACAACTCGTGCTGATAACGTGTTGTAAATCAATGAGAGAGTATAAGGAGATTGGTTGTGTTTATTCATTGATCATAAGATCCCTTTATATAAGGGTTATAAGATATAGAAAAAGGAAATTATCCAAAGTCTAAACCAACTATGATTAGGAAAACTACTAATACAAATATGAAAAATACTAAATCTAAACCGTCATATAGACTATACGTATTAAGCCTAAATAATATGTTTATGGCACATCCACTAATTAGTTCATAACAACAATGGATATGTAAGTGTTGTTGAAAAAAAAACACATACATGTGAGGAAGGTCTAAATATATTCCAACTATATGGGCCTCTAAAGCTATAACAACAATCCAAGTAGCCCACAAGAAAAATGAAGAGCAATGGATATGTAAGTTTTGCTGGTTACAAATGAATGAATGAATTCAAAAGTTTGGTACTTCTTTTATTTCTTCTGTTCATCAGCTTCTCCACCCACCAAGATGTTAACCGTACGTACTTTGAACCTATGAACCTTCACGATATGGGCCTCTGAAGCTATAACAACAATCCAAGTAGCCCACAAGAAAAATGAAGAGCAATGGATATGTAAGTTTTGCTGGTTAGAAATGAATGAATGAATTCAAAAGTTTGGTACTTCTTTTATTTCTTCTGTTCATCAGCTTCTCCACCCACCAAGATGTTAACCGTACGTACTTTGAACCTATGAACCTTCACGATGATCTCCTCAACTAGATCTCCCCCTTGGGAGCGCATCGTGTGAATATTATCGCGCTTAGAACGCTCGTAATCTTGAATCATCCCTTGGATCTCTCTTCACGACCACTTTTAGAGAACGATGTTTGTTGGTTATTAACGTGTTCGCGTAAATAAAAAATGAGACAAAATAACGATTTTAAAAGCAATAATAGATGTGATGTGTATACAGTTAGGAAGGCTCAAGGCATCATTTAAAGAAGAAGAATTATGGATAAACGACCGAGTCTTCTTCGAGAGACTTGGCGGAAAAAAAAATATCAACCATAGATACTTCTTCGAGACGTTAAAAGTTGAAACTAAAATCTGTTTCCCAAGAAACATTCAAAGAAGATTTGTACAAGAAAATATATGGTTGACCAGGAATATTCACATTGTGACACTATTTAGAACTTAGAAGCGTTCTAAGCGACAAGAAATGAAGAAAATCTAGGACTAGCTTATGGATGTTAATATCCGTTAACCAAGTCAAAGATATCTAGAAATCTAGTAAATTTCCTGTCTCTAGTAAACTTCATTATTTGTTCACGGAGATAAGTTCGTGGGAAAATTCATCAATCAAGAAGATGAAGATAGAGAGCTCGATTTCTGACACGGCCTCCTCCACTTCTTCACCATGTCTTGTCCATTCTCCGGCCTCCCCTCTGATATCTTTCTGCACCACCGCCTCCGCGGCTTCCTCCGCACCCATTCCTACCCTCCATGCATTCATCATCCTCCCATTTTTCTTCCTCATCTCTTCTTCCACCCCTCCGCTCTCTCGTGTCATGGCTTCATCCACGTCCTCATATTCTTCATCAATATCATAAACCCTCATGTTATCGTCTTCCACGCTCTCCTCATAATCATCTTCTTGTTCTTCTGAAATCTTCCCTTCGAGGTCTAACGGACCCATCTCTGCCAACTTCTCAAATCTACAAAGCTTCTTGAGAAGTCGTTTCTTCTTCCCTGTTTAATCCAAAAAAAAAGCACAACAATGTTAAAACCCTTAAAGAAAATTTGGGGACCAATGATAAGTTTCGTTTTCATTTTCTTTGGCTCATGTGATGTGATGGGAGATTGGTTACTTACGTTGTACAACTTCAAAGCCGCACGGGAGGAGATTGAGATGGTCAGGCTCTCGCTGGTGGTGGTCCTCTTCTTCCTCAAGAGGGTCAAGTACAGAAACAGGGCTACATTGTTCCTTGTCTTCCTCTTCTTTATCTACTGCTTCTTGTCCTCTCACTTTCTTATCTAAGCTCTCTGTCTCATCGCTATCTTCATCCTGTTACAACTCATTTTAAAACACTTTCTGTTACACCATTTTTTGTCCCTCGCTATTTCTGGATTTGGATCACAGCTAATTTTAGCTATTCAAGTTTAATTATATCCATAAAGGTTGTAATTTAAGTTATTTATCAACATTTATTTATTCCTCAATCACTTCTTTAACCTTTTTACTATGCATTTCTTTTATACAACAACCACAAGTAGGGTTGTTCGGATTTTGTGTAACATCTTTCCCTAAAAGGATTGCAACTTCTTGACAAAACCTTGATGCTCACATTATCTAAGAGTAGCTAACATAAGTTTCGGGTTACATTTAAGACTTAAACCTAATGTATTAAATGACAGAAAATGTGTGCTTGGGTAGCTTGCCACAGAATTAATTGGTTTGAAAATTTTGAAATTTAACTATAGTGAAACCTTTATAAATTAATAATGTTAGGTACTACACAAAACTATAACTTTTTATTAATTTATCGATATACTAACTGAACCAAATATGCAATTTGGAACTATAAAATTATATTATAGAAATTTTTAGTATATATTAATTTATAAAATGTTAATTTAAAGAGATTATATTGTAGTTAGTGATATCTTGTTTCAAAAGAAAGAAGAAAAACTAGTTAATGATATCTAGAGAAATATAAATGACATAAACACCCCCACCACACTGACACTCTACGACAGGTGAAAATTCAAGGGCATAGGCATATCCGTCATTATAAAGTGAAAAAAAAATATTTACAGTACTCCTCTGATTCCTGAAGAATTTACATGATTCAGTCATATCAAACAGGCAATTTTCAGCAAGCCATGTGTTTCTGCTCTAATCAGATGTTTTTTCAGTTTTCCGTAGAATGTCTTTTTAAGTCTTTTCCTGTCACTGAATTCTAATTTATGACTCATATCTATTAACTAGCAGAGTGGGTTTTTAGTAAAAATCTGAAAATTCAAATAACAAGTTGCTAAATATTTCAAAAAATTAAGGATAGTGGTATTGTAAGTTTTTTAAATATAGCTTTTCACTATATATGTATATATATTAATATAGTTTAAAATTTTCAAAAGCTTGAGATATTATGAAAATATCAAGTATCAGTATATTGAGAAGTACTTTTTTTTTTTAGGTGGATGGTCTAAGAAAATATGCCATTTTGTTCGGAATTTACCATACATTCATAGATGTGAAATGTTTTTTTGAACATTTATATATAGATGTGAGATGTTATGGTTTTAGGTTTATAGTTTCTTCCTTAGAGTATAGTTTGGAGTTTATGTTTAAATTTAGGAGTATTTTGACTATAAAACTAATTTATGACTATATCATTTTCCTATAAAACTTCAAGTTATTTTGGTAAACAAACTCCATAAATTAATTTATGACACATAATTTTAACCTTTCGCTGGATAGAGATAATTAACTGAAAATTTGAGACAAACCTCTGAACTACATTGCGCCGGAGAGGTAGCCGTCGACGAGAAGTGGGGAGTCTGGTTACCGGAAGTAGAAAGAGTTGCATGGAGCACGAAATGAAAAGGGCTCTCACAAAAACACTTATCACCAATCTCCACAAAACACTCTCGCCGGCTGCTGCTCATCGTTTCCGGCAGAACCGCGTTTGCATCATCAGCGTTATCCAAACTTGGTTTTGCTTTACCGTTAGTCAACCGCTTCAAAACGGACCCGAATATCCCAAACGCGCTTCCTCTGTTCCGAGCTCTGTTGTTAGTCTTATTAGCCTTCTTAGACTGTTTCTTATGTATCCTTGCCGCCGCTTCTAGTAGAATTGCGGCGGTTCTAGCCGGAATATGAAGGAAAACTCGACCGTCACTAGAATTTTTCTTCCCCGGCGACCGGAGTTCATAGAGAGGAGATTTGGTATGAGTCGCCAAGAAACAAGAGCTCTCGCATGAGAATAAACCAGGAGGTAGAACGGTTGCGTTTTCGGAATGTCGTTTCTTGATACGCAGATCGGTGTGACCCATCTGAGACCGTAGGTCGGCGATGTAATGGTTAAGATGAAAAGGTTCTTGGTCATCTTCAAGAAGCTCACGTAAGTGTTTCTTCATCTCAGCAGCCATGGAGTCAATTTTACTTTAAAACTTTTATTTGTTCTATAACTCTCTCTATATCTATGTGGAATTCAGAATCGTGTAGTTCTATTTCTTTCTCTCAGTGAATGGTGAGGAACAGTTATAGACAAAGGGTAAGACATTGGATAAAGAGTCAATGCTTGGATTTGGTTATTCCCTACATCTTGAAAAATAAAATAAAAAATAAAAGTTTTCTTTTTAATATTCTTTAACAATAAAAAAATGCACATCTAACTATTTTATTGTAAGCTTTATTTACATTATTTTTTCCAAAAAATTATATTCTTTTTTTTTTCTTTGTAATAATAATATTTTGTTAAAACATCCCAAACCAAACATTGGGTTGATGGTTATAACAATAACTTGGGTAAAAGGAAATTAGATTTAACTGGACTAACTCAATTTCAACCGGCTTTTGGAGAAACCCTAAACCAAAAAAAAGTTTGTTTTTTTCTTTATATTGAATTATAATTGACATTTCTTTGTGGTAGTTGTGAAGTTTAGTTGACATTTTATTTTCAAAGTGGGCCTTAAAAAGACTCCTGAAAATTAGAGTTCGTGTAAATTTCAAAGAGTCTAATTGTGGAATGTGGACTAATTACATAAACAACCTGGATTGTATTGTGCTCACACACTTTTTTACTGTAAGCACAAATCAATTTTTCCATCATGAAGGGATCAAACTGGGGTCATGATTCAGTACGTTCGGTCCACCTGTTGTGGGAAGAGGAAAACTGGGATGATGGGTTTGCTCTTATTTTTGACATGTGTAAGTTGTAGTATCGGTATGCGAGTTATAGACTCGAGATTTTTAAAAAGAGGGTTAGGATTGGAAGAAGAAATTAAATATTGTGTAGTAACATCCTGAGATTTTGTATGTTGATAAGAAAAAGTAATATATATTGACGTTAACTAGATTTGAAAGCAGTAAGATATGGTTATAGTGATAACAATCTGATCTGATTGACACTTACCGTAATTCCTAATCTGAATATATTCTGATTTAATAATTTAAAAGAAAAGCATTCCATGTTGACATGTTCTACATTTAACGTTACCCAGCATGGGATGAAATCTATCGTTGATTACTTACTTTAAGAAATCTCAAACAACAGTGGTAGGAATATGAACTTATACGCACTGACGATGTTGAAATCAAGAAAATAAACATATTCCACATATGATATATACCTATAGTATAAGTCAAGACGACACGACTATAAATTATAATTTCGATTTTGTTAATTTATTAATTAAGGCAACTTTTGGCGAACTACCTATCCAACGACTTATTTGTCCTACGTACACAGGTTTACATACTCTGAATAAATTGCTAATTAATAATATATTAATATACACACAATGTAATATGAGAATGTGTTCAAACACTTTTTCGGAATTCGAACCTTCATTAAAGTAAAATCATGGATATTGTAGGAAGATTAGGTTTGGGTTTTAGTTTATACAGAGTTTACCAACAATCTGATAACAGACGATTCGGTTATCAATTGATATTAATCAGAAAATATTCTAAATGTGGATGATGTAATGTAGTTTTAGGAAAAAAATGTTTAAGTGTGTTCTTAACGAAATCGACTGGATCGTTAGAGTATATAAAAAATGCATTGTTGACCCAAAAAAGATGGTATTATGCACCAAATCATCTTCTCCTTGAGAATTGAGATTATACAAATACTTGCTATAACAAATGCATTGGGCAGGACAAATAAAGGTGACCATAAATGATATAGAAAAGTTGTAGGCTTTACAGCTGGGTACTCCCTTTGATTAAATTTTCAGCATCTGTGGACTTTAGATTTATATTTTTTTTACTATGGTCCAGCCTGAAATTCATGTGGAACTACAGTTTATTTATTGTTCAGTTTTTGGGACCAATTATTTATTTTTCATTTGGGATGAATTTTACTTTTAAATAGAAGTTGTTGAATCATATGTATGTTTAACTGCTATTTCTGTTCACCCACTCATATCTATTAAGTGTCGATTATTGACAATTTTATGTGTTAAATACTCCTTCTATTTCAATACAAGTTGTGTTTAAAAGTTTTGCACAATGATTACAATTTTTATACAATTTGTTTTGCTTGCATAAAAATATCATTAAATAAATAATTACAATTTAGTATTAACCTAGTCCACTTAAAATATGTAAAATGAACACGAAATTAAGCTGTATCAATTTATTTCGTAAGTTGTTATATTGCAGTCTAGTTATCCACATTTAAACTTGAGTAATAAAATGGTTTTAGACGTGAAAAACGATCATTCTTGTTAGTTATTTGTTAATAAACCAAAATCTACGGCCCTTTATCATCTGAACATGCAGCAGACAAAATATTTTGCTGAACGCGTGGGACGTAAGGCTTTGTCTTTTAACTAATTTTACTGTTACGACAAAATTGTGTATCTACCGATAAACTAGTATATATTTCCCCAGTCGTACCATGAGAGATCTATTTCTGAACATATCGACGGAATTTATTTATGAACAAAACTTGGGTTCACCCCCTAGGGTGAACCTTATAATTCATCTCAATGTTTAATACCAATCAAAATGACATATAGGATTAATTAAAAAAGGAAATTAAAACTAGAAAAAATAAATGGAAAATAACTAAAAGAAAAAAAAAGGACGTCGCCGTTAGACGTGATCTCCATCGACTGCTCATTTGCTCAGAGAGATATATCTAATTAACAAAACTGAAATTAAAACTCTTAATCTCTTTGATTTGACTTCAATTTGGTTATTCGTTCATTAAAAATAAAAAGAAGCCTGGAGAGACCATCATGTTGTGACACCATCATCATATTATATTGCTAACTAACTGCCAAAGAACCAAAGCCCTTGAAAATACAAGACCACAAGACACCTTTGGCATTCGACATGTACTCTTAATTTCTTCAGTCCTATATTGTCACTGAGATTGACTAGAGGTTGTGTGGGACTGGACTGAATAGCTAAAAACAATAAGAAATGTGAGTACAGTGGTCATTATTGTTCTGAAGAATGGGAGATTGTAGAAACTACCAAAGACTTTGAATAATGCATTTTTATAAATGAATAATCTTAGACATTCCTCCCCTCCAAGGGGAAGAAGAAGAAGAGACTTGATGATCTAATTAAGTTCTACGATTACGTAAACTAACATGTCCATCATGCAAATAAAAGGCTTGCAGGGTTGTTGACTTGTTGTTCTGATATTATACTTAAAACATGCCAACTTTTTTTTCAGTCATTCAAACAGCACGTGGTTTTGGTGCTTAATTTTCTTAGATTAGTCCTAAACAGCAGCATGATTCTTGTGATTATTCGACCCCATCTTCTCCTCCCCCGCAAGGATAAAAACGAGCGGCTGATGCAGCAACTGCGGTTAGTCCACCACCTCAGCCGTTTCAATTTCCATACAGTCCGTATTGTCCCCCGGAATTGATCTCTGTCATCACTCATCAACTTGTACCACCATTGATTTGTTGTCGAATGCCAAAGATGTCCTGTTGTATTGTGTGTTTTAAGGGCTTTGGTTTTTTGGCAGTTAGTTAGCAATACAATATGATGATGATTGATGATGGTGTTACAACATGAGGGTCACTTTAACTCAGATTTTTTTTAATAGAGTAACCAAATTAAAGTCAAATCGAAGAGGTTAAGAGTTTTAATTTCAGTTTTGTTAATTAGATATATCTCTGTGAGCAATGAAGAAGAAGCCGATGAGATCACGTTGAATTCTTTGATTAACGGCGACGTCCTTCCTTTTTCTTTTAGTTATTTTCATTTATTTTTTTCTAGTTTTAATTTCCTTTTTTAACTAATCCTACATGTCATTTTGATTGGTATTAAACATTGAGGTGAATTATAAGGTTCATCCTAGGGGGTGAACCCAAGTTTTGTTCTTTATTTATGTACTTATTTAAATATTGCAAGAAAAATATCTGTATATAATAATTGAAATTTGAAAAAGGTATATACGTAATTCACTGCAAGTCTATGTATATACATTATTAATACAATATTTTATTCATACTTATGAGGCAAAAATTGCAATATACTTGCTTAGAAAAACACTTTAGCTAATTATCTTTGTATTATTATTATTACTAATTCCATCTCGTCCGCGCAAGCACGGAGCTAGAATCATTGTTGCTTTTGGTTTAGTGAATTCTTCTAATAACGCCAAATAATGATGAAATAGAAAGAATATAACAAGAGTGTAAACTGAAATATTGTATATATAATGTGTTTACTATTATTTATATTCGAAATAAAGTTTATAGGAATAGTTAAACTATAATATAGTTTTTAGTGTGTAAAAATATGTGTTTATCTTATTTTTGTCTTTTTCTGTAAATAATTTTTGTACCGGAGTCCGAAGATCAAAACTTGACATAGTTCATTATTTATAGTATTTATATTTGTACTAAACGATTTATCAATTTGAAATAACCTTGATTTAAGTTAACATTTGTTGTTTGACTTCATTAGATAGGTTTTTGTATATGGTTTTTTTGTAAGTTCGTGTTTTGTTCATAAATGATGTGGTATTTTTCTTTACGGCGTTGTCGAGCGTAGGAATTCATTCGCTTGAGTTTTATAAACCATTTGAGTCAGTGGGTGGGAGTACTTTATACCGGAGGTCAAAACTTGATATAATTTTTTTATTTATAGTATTTATATTTGCTGAACAATTTATCAATTTGAAAATAACCTTAATTTAAGTTAATATTTATTGTTTGGTTTCATTAGATAGGTTTTTGTATATGATTTTTTGTAAGTTTGGGATTTATTCACGAATGATGTGGCATTTTTATTTACGGCGTTGTCGACTGTAGGAATCCATTCACCGGAATCTGATAAACCGTTAGAGTCGGTGGTGGTGAATGCTTTTATACCAGATGTCAAAATTTGATATAATTTTTTATTTATAGTATTTATATTTGTATAAAACAATTTATCAATTTGAAAATAACCT